CAGCATAAGTTAACTCTAGAGATAAATCAATCTACCCCAAAGATATATTTCAGCTGCACAATGGTTCAAATGAAATTATCCATGGCTCCCCAACAAAAATTGTTTTGCAAATGGACTGTAACAGGTTTCAAAATCTCCATTTTCTACCATAAGCATTCAAGCCCTCACTTCCCTGAAAAAATCTCACATGCTACAGAATCTTGACTTTCCTTAGTTAAAAACACTGCTACTTAGTGCCGCCATAATTCTGACTTCAGTGGCAAAGTAATAGTAGATAATGGAAGTATTCCCACACATGTAATGGTCAGCACATAACCATATATGATTTGGTGCTATATGCAATATCAATGAGATCATCCTCTTTTCGCAGAAAAATGAGATCATCCTCTTGACATGTAGAAGGGGGGGAAGTAAAATTGTTCAAGTTTACGACCTACTGTATACTTAAATCAGAGCTTGTAAAACTTAAATTGATTCAGTAAGTGTACCCACACACACCAAGCATACATTAGCTCAGAACTATAGGATGCAGACCAGATCTATGAACTGTTAAGCCGTTTACATACCTGTGAGGGATTGAAAGCAATGGAGATCAAAGTTATGAGCTTGTAAGAGATCAATGCCAGTACAGCCAGGGGTAGGGGAGAGTTGCTGGGAGATAGCATGCATCGAATGCCAGAGACTTGCTAATCTTAGACTGTCATTGGTATCCATCCTCCCTGCTGAACCATAGTCCTGGAGATATGTGCAGGTTCTTCAGATGACATGGTTGACAGCTCGAGGTCTAGAATATCTCAATAAAGAAGAGAAAGGGGACCCCAGGAACATACCTTGTAGTATATAAGGCCGCCAGATTTGTTAATGATGAAAAGGTTATAGATAGCCGCTAATGCCATAGTCACCAAAGAAGGCGGAGTAGAGATAAAAGTAAATTTTCTGTATCAGCTGCAGAGAAACATACAGAGCCCTGTAAAATACTTGATAAATGTAACAGTAACAGACAACTAGTAAAGAACACTTCTTGTAGGTGTTTAAACAGTTCAACTTTTCTGAATTGATATTTTCTCGATCAGATTAAGATCTCTCTGATTTGGACTTTAATACGATATGAACATCAAGCACTCAAAAGTATTAATTCAGTATCAGTGCCATTGTTCAAATTGCATAATATGCAGCAAATGCATACTTAATCCTCCAGTTCATGTCCAATGATCCGATTTAGTCATGAACCAGTAAATTAATGCACTTACAAACCAATATGGTTTCTTTTGTTTATAAAGAGCCTCGATCTGTCTAAGCAACATACTCCTAATAAGATGTATTCACAATATGCGTCACTGAATTTGTGAACACATTTTATTTTATTATCCTAAAGATAAAAGCATAAGCATATATTATATCTTCTCCTGTAACACTTGATTCATCTAACGAAGACTACATTCTGAGCTATAAGGATCACGGATTATCTCACATGTTTAGGCTCTATGCAAGCTGTGAGGTACGACGGAGAGGTCTGGATCTAGGTTGATCTAGGTTCATATTTCGTTTTCCAAGAGACCAACACAAGGGCGGATTCAGCAGAAACATCCATCCGACACGCAGGAGCGGACCCAAGACATGGTGTACATATGTACAACCCAACATTTTTTTTTTGGCAAAAATACGAAAAAATGTTTGTATGCATATATATGAATACTACACTTGTAACTGGATCAGACCAGATCCGAATACAGATAGCTTGGGTTTGGGTGCTCCGTTTCGCACGGCAGGAACGGAAGACAGATGGTGATCTAGGCAACTGGCGTACCTGGTGAGTGCTCGTCGCCGGCGAAGAACCTGAAGATGGCGATCTATGCACCTGGCGTAGGTCTGGGCCGCCGCCACAGAGAGACAGAGCGCACGCGAGGGGCACGGGAGAACGAGAGAGAGAGGGAGAGGGAGTATGCCCGGGGTCAGGGCGCTGGGAGAGTGGGAGCACCGAGGCGGCTCGGCAGAGGAAAGAAGGAGCTGCCCGCGATCCGTTTCTCCTCCCTCCGTTCCGTCCGTGTTGCTCGTGAAAGCAAGAAGGAAAGGGCACTCCGAGTCCCAGACTCATCTAGTGGTATTTTGGTGAGTTGGTGCTGTTTCACAGTAGCAATCCGCGAAGTCCGGTTGCGGATGGCAATCCAGCGAAGCACACTTTCTATAATGATAGAATTCCAATTTTCTCCACGGGGCGGGGTGAATTTGGAGCAAGAGGTAGACCGGGTCGCCGGCACGCCGCAAGGTCAGGTCTCAGGTCATGAGCCAATATCACCATAACATTTTCGTACCATTAGGAAAAACGTGAAAACATATAAAAAATTCTACAATTTAAAATGCCTTATAGACTGAATACACAAGTCGAGATGTTAATAAGCAAGACGTGCTTTTATTCATCGATAATATCTTTCGTTTTAGAGTGTCGTGATAAAAAAAAACTAAAATTTGTTTAAGCTAGGTAAAAAAATAGATTTTTTTCAAAACTTGAGACCCTGTTACCGATCAAAAATAATGATCCAAGCTCACCAAATACACTAGTTGGCGTGGGTAGATTTTTTTTATATAGGGAGGCGTGTGACCCATGGTAGTAGATTTTGTGAAGAGTGCATCGTCTAGGCCGGACGAAAACCTAAGTAGAAGGTACCTTGACCTTGGGTAGAAAGGTATGCATGACAAATCCCTAAAGGGGTTTGGACACAAGGCCTGGGTGTACGATCGAACAGCTGAGCCATGAGACGCGGGCTAAGGATGGTGACAGAGTGGATTTGGATTGGTGGGGTCTCTGGGCACCCAAAACTGAAACCCGAACTGAAAACCCGAATTTGTCCTAAACATCAATTCGGGTGAAAATCCATCCCCACAACCTAAACTGAAAACGGCTAATGGTGCAAAAACAATCCATAGTGAATTATATAAGTGTAGAAGCAATCAGTTTCGGTGATGGATTTCCATTTCCCACCCAAATTGGCGTTCTGGGCGGATTCGATTTTTAGTTCGGGTTTCGGATTTGATGCCCAGAGACTCCACCTGATTCGAATCCGCACTATTGCCGTCCTTAGTCGTGTAGTGATGCCCATGGCAAGAAAGTGAGAGCGCAATAGGGAGGTGAAAAAGAGAGGAGGATAGGGAAACAACCACCATCGTAACTCTAGGGGTGCTTGATTTGGTTATTTGTGGTTAGACGGTACAAGTGGTCGATGAGAGCCAGGCTACCGTGCCTACGTGCCTTCTAGATTTCGCTATGGAGGTGAGGGCCGTGTTTGGTTCGGTTTGCGTCCACCATGTGGTGTAGTACACCATCCGTGGTGGAAGAGTTGCGATACCAAAAATTATGACTCGAGTTCAAACCTCGCGGTGTGTGAACCGAGGGGGTAAAGAAAATCGTTATGTGTTTGGTGTGATTGTCACGTTCTGCCATCGAGAATCAACTTTTCAGCCGTTCCAAATGGGCCCAAGGTTGTTGTAGTTTTGGAATCTTGCACTTGCAGACACGCATCGCACCAGGCCCACAAGAGCGTCAACCTCTGAGGCTATCCTTGCAGCCTTGGTTAGGGCTTCCCCAATGCACCACACTAGCGTGCTGCCCCATCTTCCACGTCCTCAACAAGTTGACATGTCATGATCAATGGTGGTCCCGCATGTTGTCATAGACTCCTGCAGAAATGACTTGGTCTGACAGAAAAGGCAGCACTTGAGGAACGCGTTGGGGCAACGAAGCCACTCGATCACCTTGTTGACGAAAAGCTGCAGCCAAGGCAAGGAAGCAAGTAGAGGATGATTGCTTGCATTGGGAGACTATCCTAACACTATTCAGCGAGCCCCTCACATGGACACTATTTACATGAATCAGCCAGCAGTATTTCTCTCTCACATAAACAAACCAGCAACGATACGAACCAACCAATCGAACAGGTTGATTGTCCTCAACTCACGAATGTTTTTACGTGGACTACACTTTTTTGAGATGGAAAAGATTTTCATTAATACATTAATCTAGATAAATCACTAGACATTAGCAGGTTTATAGACTCAGGCAAATGGTCCTGCCATAGCATAGAACCACTTTTACAGTTTATAAACCCATAGCGGCTAATGTATGAGCAACTTCATTACAAGGCCGAGGGCAGTGAGAGATGGTACCCACATTAAAATCATATAATATTTTAGTTCTAATATCTCTAAACATCAAACCCAAAGGAGATCTATCAAAAAGCTGATTCTTAATAACGTTGACCACCACCTGGGCATCCGTTTCCAGGATGATGTTTTCTAATCCTAGGTCTTGTTTTTCTAAGGCTACTGTTTATTATATCAAATCTTTGCACCTCATTGGTGAATGTGATCAGGCCATCATCGTGTCGCAGTTTGATTGTAGAAATCTTTGGAAGAATTTTTAAGCCTTTTTTCACCATGGCTTAATAAAAATCCCTACTAAACGAAAACATACAAAACCAATAAACCATGATAAAAAATGGTGAAAACGAAGGCCCTACTTTTTTTTCTAAGCTGACTGCCACGCAAACAAGTGCCCTCTGTTTGTTTGGTGTCAGGCCATCATCGTGTCGCAGTGTTTTCAGAAATCTTTGGCAAGATTTTTGTGGTGTTTTTTTTCACCGGCTTAATCAAAATCCCTATTAAACGAACACATACAAAACCAATAAACCATGATAAAAATGGTGAAAACGAAGGGTCTTTTTTGGCGGAAGCTGAAGCCACTGTTGGTTTGATCAGGACTGTAAAAGGCTCATAAATTTTCCGAAAACCCCACCCCAGTCCTGCCAAGAGGCCTTCAACCCGAGAAACGAGCACACCAACCAACGCCGCACTCGGCCCACCTCCCGAGTTCGTCGCCGCTTTCCCCTCTCTTCCCGCGCCGGCACGCTTGCGTCGCGGCCCCCCATTCTCCTCCAAAACCCCGGCCAAAAACCCTTCGAAAGTTGAAACCCCGTTCGTCTTCCATGCCCCACCCGCACGCCGCGATGTTCCGCTCGCCCTCCTCCCTCCGCTCGCTCCTCCACCTCTCCCTCCGCCGCCTCCTCCCCACGAACCCTCGCCTCCCCTGCCCCCTGAACCCTCGCCTCCCCAGCTCCCCGCTCTCCGCCCGCCCGCGCTTCCTGTCCTCTTCAACCTCGCCTACACCTGGCGGCGCAGGATGGGCCACCTACGACCCGCTCACCGACAGCCTCAGCGCCTCCGCGGCGCTCCCTTCCGCCTCCGCCTCCGATTCCGAGGCCCCCGCTGTGTCGGATGCCTGGGGCGTCTACGACCCCGCCTCGGGCCGCATCGTCAAGCAGGGGTCCCCACCTCCTTCGTCGTCGACCACCGTGGAGGAGAAGGACGAGGAGAAGGATGAAGAGGAGCAGGAGGACGAGGAGGGGGAAGAGACGGGAGAGCTCCAGGACGAGGAGGAGGCGGGCGTAAAGGAGAAGGGGAAGAAGCAGGCGAGCGCGCTCCGCGGGAACCACCAGGTCAAGTGGTCGTCGGTGGCGGCGGCGCGGAGGCCCGCGGGTAAGGGCGGCAAGGAGAGGAGCTCGTACGTGTGCAGCAACTGCGGGGAGGGCGATTCACAGTGGTGGGGCAAATTGCCGCCACTGCAATGCGATTGGGACCGTGGACAAGTACGTCCCAGGGCCTGACGGCGATGGTGCCGCTGTGGAGGGGTCGCACCACATCGGCCGATCGTGGATTCCTCAGAAGGCCAAGGAGATGGTGCCGCAGAGCCTTCAGGAGGTGAACAAGGGGGTCGACCAGGCACAGTGGCGCATACCCCTGTAAACATTTCTCACCCAGCTCAATATTTGTCATTATGAGAAATTTTGGAAGGCCGTATTCAGTGTCTTCTTATCTAATGCATCGGGGAAGCAATTGAATTATATTAGCTCCATTCAATTCAATTAATGGGCAATTCTTTGAGGAATTTCGTTCTTCTTTCATTATGAGCTGATGGCATATGTATTTGTCTTCTTTGTAGGTGGGGGAGTTTCGGGATGGAGATCTCTCAAGTGCTTGGTGGTGGCATTGTTCCTGGTAAACCATCACTTAAATTTTATGGCACTGGTTGAACACAATCTTTACCTTCCAGCCCTTCAGGCATCAGGATCAGGGTTCATATTTGCAATAAACTTTTGGTTGCACTAAAGCTTTTATAATGCTGAGAGAAATAACGTTCCAGTAAATATGTTGCTACTTAAGTGCCAATCCTTTTAGAATTTTATGCTTCTCCTATCTGAAATGGCACCAAATCAGGCTTACAATACTACATAGTGAATCTGTAGCAAACTATGTGCTGGTAAGTAACATATAATTTATAATTGCCTTGTGATTCCAGACTGTTTTAAATTGCTCTGAGTTAACTCACGACTTAGCTGCACCTCAATAGTGTTACAAGTTATCTGCTCTACATGCCACACTTTTTCTGATTGTTCTTCTTGGCTTTGGCTTCTTTGCATTTCTTCTGTGTGTTATTTGGCAAACCACCAAGCATAGGATTTTTTAGATACCATAAGAAGCATTCCCTGTTGTGGTTACTAGTTTTGAGAAAGATAAATGTGGAGTTTATCTGGAGCCAAGCATACAGTAGGAATCATCCTAGCATCTGATAGTAGGCATACTTTCTTTTTTCCCTTTCCGATTGATTTCTTTTCCTGTAAATCAAGTGTCAGCAACTAGCATGTTGTCTTGTGTTGTAATTTTCACATTGTGGACAGATGTAAAAACTTTCTGTAATAATGATGCACGGCTCTCCTGCGTATAATGACAACTGACATGTCATAAATATTTCTTTATCCGATGAATCAATCTATTCCATCAAACTTATGCAGGATCCTTGATTTTAGTCGGTGGGGATCCAGGTGTTGGCAAAAGTTCATTGATGTTACAGGTATAGGATAATACACATTTGGCTATCAGGTCTTAGTTTGACCGGCTTATTTTCTTTGCACGTTCATTTTATCCACCTTATACCCTTCAATATATTTCTGATTGATTTCTTCCATTTTGAGTTATGCAGTTTCCTATAACATCGTAACTTAACTTTTGGAATGTAACAGATGTTTCTCTTGCTGGAGTCTGAAAAACGTGTTTTCCCATTTTCTGTACTTGCAGCTTGCTTCGAATATATTGGAGGGTTTCAAGGCCAAGGAGTCTTCTCCTGTTGTATATGTGTCTGGTGAGGAGGTTAGTTATGACAGGCATTCCTTTATCAGACTTCACAATTTCTTAAATCCTTATGGTCTTATCCGATCTCTGTAACTTGCACGTCCTTATTTATGTTGTCTTATTCTCTGAAACTTCTTGGACGGATCTATATGATCTTTCATGTTTCTTCCGTCCAATGATTTGTAGAATCTTAGAACACTCTTTGCTAACTTTGTAACTCTGCTCCAGAGTATTGAGCAAATTGGAAACAGGGCTGACCGGATGAGTATCACGTCTAGCAACTTGTACCTCTACTCTGGTACGGATATTGAGGTAGTTTTCTCAGTTGGCACTACTTGTGCATACTCCTAAATTTATTTGGATCATAGATCCATTTTTATGTAAGGTCAACATACTCTAGTCTTTATTACCCTTGGGAAACTCCTTGTAGTTTCATCAAATAAAGTTATTGTCACGTGATGCTCTGGAGTACCAAAAGTATGTAGGAAACTCTGTGTTCATCTCAAATCTCGTTTTTCACATATATGGGATTTCCTCACGACAGCTAATAAGACTACTGATAGGGTAGGTATTTTGTTCTGTGCTCATTTACTCAGATTTACCATTTAGGGTTCAACATGCATCAATATTACCCTTGTCTGTAATTTTTCTATAAATACCAATACTGTTCAAAATTCATATCAACAAAACAAATTTAACAGTTAGAACCAAATAATTTGATGATTTTTTTACAATACTGATTATCTAATAAAACAGAGCAGTCTGCATGCGATCTAAAAAGTAGATTTAACAGATGATAATAACCCTGACTAAAAGTATTATAGGATCTCTTTTTATCAGTTGTTCTTATTAAAATATTCCTCGGAAGAAACCTTAGGAGCCCCTCTGATTCTTACGTACAGTTTCTGGTCCTCTAAAATATTTGTTTCACAGGATATCTTGGACAAAATCCAACCACTCTCTCCAAAAGCTCTTATTATCGATCAATTCAAACAGTTTATGTCAGATCATTTGCTGGAAGTGCTGGTAATTTGTCACAGGTGCTTCTATCAGTTCACCTAACCTAATAATTTCCTGATTATACTAGCATGCCAATATTATATGTCTTCCCATTATTGACTGGTTATTTATATTAGCTTTATTTACTGTTATACCAGATCAGTTTCATTCACTTTTTCCATGATAATGATAGATACTGTCATGACTGGTTGCAAATCTCTTACTTTTCTGGATAACAGGTTAAAGAATGCACCTCTGCCTTGTTACGATTTGCAAAGCTGACTAATATCCCTGTTTTCTTGGTAAGCTAAGCACCATGCAAGAAGTTTGCCATTATTTATGAAACATACTAGACAGATGTCTGCCTTTATTTCTACTCATTTGTTGCACCCTGTCTATTCTTCTTTACTTCTCAGATTGGACATGTTACGAAAACTGGTGATATTGCTGGTCCTCGCCTCTTAGAGCACATAGTGGATGTTGTTCTTTATATGGAGGTTGGTGAATTACTGCATCCAATTATTGTGCCGCACACAAAACAAATACTTGATTCTTCCTGGGAAAATTCTAAATGATTTTCAAAGGTCAAATTTGCTTCTTCTCCACTCCTCAGGCATCTTGTTCGATCGAAAGATATTGTTGAACATCTTGGTTAGCCATACTATAGCTATATCGTGCTATAAGCGTTTGTATCATGACAGGTGTGCAAACAACATAGAGAAGTACAAGGTGGCAAAGAAGACTGCAAAACGAGCGGTGAGTGAGGCAAAGGGGCGGGCCTATGAGGACATTTACCGACGTTTGAGTACGAAGGAAGAAGATAATGACATTTATAGGATGGCTAGGGCTCGCGATAGGAAGACAAGGGACTTCAACCAAGTGAAGTGCATAAAGGATGAGAGGGGACAGCTCTTGGTGAAGGAGGATGATATCAGACATAAATGGCAAGAGTATTTTGATAAATTGTTCAATGGCGAGAACGAGAACACCACCGTTCAGTTGGACAGCTCGTTTGATGACACTAACAGGCACTTTGTGCGGAGGATTCAAGAATCGGAGGTCAGAGAAGCCTTGAAAAGGATGAAAGGGGGCAAAGCGATGGGCCCTGATGGTATCCCAATCAAGGTGTGGAGATGTCTCGGGGATATAGCTATAGTATGGCTAACCAAGATGTTCAACAATATCTTTCAATCGAACAAGATGCCTGAGGAGTGGAGAAGAAGCATATTGGTACCAATCTACAAGAACAAGGGAGATATCCAAAGTTGTACTAATTATCGAGGAATTAAGTTGATGAGCCACACTATGAAGTTATGGGAGAGAGTCATCGAGCAGCGCCTGCGAGGAATGACGCATATATCAACAAATCAATTTGGTTTCATGCCCGGAAGGTCAACCACAGATTGCCCCTTAATAAGACAGGTTATGGAGCGGTTTAGAGAGCAGAAGAAGGACCTCCACTTGGTTTTCATTGACTTGGAGAAGGCTTATGACAAGATACCAAGAAATGTTATGTGGTGGTCTTTGGACAAACATAAAGTCCCATCAAAGTACGTGACCCTCATCAAGGACATGTACAACAATGTTGTGACTAGTGTTCGAACAAACGATGGTAACATAAATTACTTCCCGATTAAAATTGGACTTCATCAAGGGTCAGCCTTAAGCCCGTATCTCTTTGCCTTGGTAATGGATGAGGTTACCAGGAACATACAAGGGGATATCCCTTGGTGTATATTGTTCGCTGATGATGTAGTGTTAGTGGATGAAAGCCAGGCAGGAGTAAATAGGAAACTAGAGTTATGGCGGCAGACCCTTGAGTCTAAAGGTTTTAGATTGAGCAGAACTAAAACTGAATACATGAGATGCGACTCTAGCGGAGTTGTACAGGAGGAGGGAGATGTGAGTTTGGAAGGAGGTCAGGTAGTGCCTAAGAAGGATACCTTTCGGTATCTGGGATCGATGCTACAGAGGGATGGAGATATTAATGCGGATGTTAGCCATAGAATCAGAGGATGGTGGATCAAGTGGTGACAAGCTTCTGACATTCTCTGTGACAAGAGGGTACCACAAAAGCTAAAAGGCAAGTTCTATAGAACGGCGATTAGACTGGCTATGTTGTATAGAGCAAAATGTTGGCCTACAAAGATTCGACATGTTCAACAACCGAGTGTTGCAGAAATGCGTATGTTGCGATGGAATTGCGGTCACACAAGAATGGACCGAGTTCGGAATGATGATATACGTGATCGCCTCGAGGTAGCACCAATTAAAGAAAAGCTTGTCCAACATCGGTTGAGGTGGTTTGGCCATGTCCAAAGGAGACCTCTAGAGGCACCAGTGCATTGTGGAGTCATAAGCCAAGCTAATAATATGAGGTCATAAGCCAAGCTAATAATATGAGGAGAGGTAGAGGAAGACCGAAATTGACATGGGGGGAGGCAATAAAAAGAGATTTGAAAGCTTGAGATATACCTAGAGATCTATGTTTGAATAGGAGTACTTGAAAAGCAGCTATTGAAGTGCCTGAACTGTGACTTGGGGCTCTTGGTGGGTTTCAACTCTAGCCTATCCCAACTTGCTTGGGACTGAAAGGCTATGTTGTTGTTGTTGTTGTATTTTCAAAGGTCAAATATGAACATTTCTTGAGCTTTTCAAATGTTTTTTTATGTGTTGTTCGTATCATAGAAGATATAATGATCTAGCTCATACAGGTAGTACTTGTTTGTACTTTGTAAACGTGTAAGATGATAACATGTGAAATGCTAAAATGATAGAGCTTTAAAATATGCTGCTTATTTCAAGTCTTATTTGCACAATTTCATGTATTCTAGATGTTAAACCTGACAAAAGCTTCTTGTTCTCATTTCAGGGAGAGAGGTGCTTATCCCATCGATTGTTGCGGTCAGTGAAGAACCGTTTTGGTTCAACCGATGAGGTACGCTCCTATGTCTTAAACTAAATTTGCTCCGTAGTCCGTACGCAAATATTAGTGCTGCAATACTGGATTAATCTACAAAATGGGCACGACTCATGATTATGTTGGGCATAGACGCTATTTCCTGATTCATGTGAACTGACAAGACAAACCCTAGATGACACAATTCCGGCATTCATCTACTATAACTAATTTACCTGGTTATAATACTAATGTATTTGAACAAAGGCTAGTCCATCGGATTCACAGATTACTAGACGTTGCTGGAGCAAAATGTAAGTCATTGACATTTTACATTCTATTGTTTTGAATTATCACATATTCAAACTTGTTTCTGTCCTTGGGCTTGAAACGAAGTTACAAACTTATGTACCAAACAAGTTTCTAGTGGAGGGCAATGGTGCACATGGATTAACGAGGTAACGGTAACAGACAACGATAATCCTATTCATGAATACAAGTTTCATGAGAAAAGAATCCCAATAATCATTAACTTTCCCCTTCTAATCTGACTTCTGCCTTGCCCTAGCCCTTTCCTTTCCATTTACCCCAATAATCATGGTCTTCCATCATTTGCCTTCCCTTAATGTGCTGGCATTGTCCATCTAGAGCTCTGCCCTTCTCTTGTCAGATTGGGTGTTACCTTCTTCAGTCTCTTGTTCATGGACATCATCTTCATAAAATAAGACTCATACAAGTGTAGCATTGTCAACGAGGTAGTTGTTACTGGAGTGGGATCCTCTATTAGGAAAGCATAGTGTGTACTGCTGTGTAACTCCATAATTTTGGCTGTCTAATCAGAATCCCTGCTACAGCACCAACCAGTATGTGCTACAATTTATCTTGTGAATATCTGTGTTGTAAACCTTACATTTGAGATATATTTACCTATCCTCTTTTTAACTTTATATCCCTGTTCATTTTTTTGTTCATATGACATCAAACTGTTCTTTTTGGAAGATATTAAAGAACCTGTATTCACTTGTTCTCTTTTCTCTTACTGTTCCAGCTTGGTGTATTTGAGATGGCCGAATTTGGTCTGCAAGCTGTTCTGAATCCAAGCCAGATGTTCTTAACTGAGCATGACTCTGATTCTGAAATTCTGGCTGGGCTTGCTGTAGCTGTTATTTTAGATGGATCTAGGACCTTTGCTCTTGAAGTTCAGGTACTTCAGTCTTCATATGGTTACTGGTATCTTATTGAAGTGGCTAAATTATTTTTCTTCCAATGTTTCACATTGTTTTTTTCTTACCATAGTACTATCATATACTTGAGCTATGAGTACCTACCTATAGTTTAAGTTTAAGGGACTTCTGTGAGGTGCAATTTCTTCCATTTGCAGGCATTGTGTGTTTCCGGTTCTCATCGTTCTGGACAAGTAGTTGGCATACCATCAAGCAGGGCTGATGTCATAATCTCTGTAAGTGTCAATACATCCCAACCAATAAAGCACTGCACCTAGCATAAATGCCTTTTTTTGGTTAATTTTGGCATTAAAGCTGCATAAATAGCACCAGACTTGACTTTTGTATCCATCTCGTCATTTTGTCAGTCAAGTTCGCATTAGTTTGATCATGCTTGCCATAACCCTTTGCCATAGCACCTTAAGCTGAGTTACCAGATTAGATGTCATCTCATTTCAACAAGTCATCTGTGTTAGAATGAGTTTAGCTTATTATAAATGTGGACAGTTCTCTAATAAGTTTATCATATGTATATTAGCCTTCTAGCAGAATTAGTTTTGCATGTTATCTTGCGCATCTGCTTGAATAAGAGAAAAAAGGAGGTTATGGTTTCCAGATGACAGGATTAAACATGTGGGATGTGAGTGTCTTTTTTGAAATTACAACCATTGACACAATCACACAAAGCACACATGGGCAAGCAAATAGGACAGCCACTCTAAACTAAAGGTCGATCCTTCACTTCCTTACTTCCCTTGGGGTCTGCATCCAGTAGGGTATGTGGTCCTAAAAGACCTCTCTTGCCTCGCTTAAATAAAGGGCTTTCACTACCTCTTCTGAGGCCCCCCTTTCTGTACCTACTCCGCATGGTCTTGCTCCTTTCGCTTCCTCTTAAACTGACGTCCATGTGCTGGTACTTGCTTTGATTTTACATCGACCAGAGATAAATTCATGAGCTCAAGGAGAAGTACACACTTTTCACTGAGACATGCTCACACCAAGTTGCACAACCAAAATTTGATCCCTGGTTAGAATCGTACACCCGTGAGCCACAATTCAACCGATTGGCCAAGAGTTTCTTACCTAAACTTTGTGAAATGATATTTACTTTTCTTGTTTTGTAGGTTCTTATGAAGCAAGCAGGCCTACAACTTCAGGATACTGTAAGTTCATATATATAACTATTACTATGTCAGGCGATATATATTTCTTTACAGTGTGTTGGTGTTAATTCTGAGATACAAATATATAACTATCACTATGTCAGGCGATATATATTTCTTTACAGTGTGTTGGTGTTAATTGCTTAATTCTGAGATACAATCAGTTGGCTGCCACTACATGTAGGCTTATTACTTGCATCAATGTGGTCTGATGACTTAATTTGCACTAACATTAGAGCAGGTGGTTTGTTGATGTCCTGACATGTTTGTTGCATTGACACACTCTTAATTTGCCAATTTTTGGTTTTTGGGACAATATAAACATACAGTAATGTTCTATTTTTCTTCTCATGTTCTTCTGGTGCTATTTCTTGTGCACTGCAGACTATTTTTTTGAATGTTGTGAGTGGCTTCAAGTTGACTGAGACTGCAGGAGATTTGGCCATAGCAGCTTCAATTTGCAGCAGGTAGTAATTTTGTGCTATATTTTAGATAGCTGTTAACGGTACAAGATTTAGTTCTACCTTGTATAGGTACTAAGTCCCCCCCCCATTTACTTTCTCATGGTATATTTGTACAGTCATTTGTGATTTTTGGGTTGTAGTTAGTATAACCAAAATTCACTGATAAAACTTCCTACTAAGCAGATTGGTGAAGCACAAAGTATGGTTCTATGGTTTCTTGTCATTCTTTTCTGTATAAAAGCAGGTGGGTGGGCCTGTTTTGGTATATCTTTTCCACTGTTCTAAGAAATACTCTTTTCTTGTTTCAGTTTCTTGGAATTTCCTATCCCAAATGATGTTGCATTTATTGGAGAGGTCGGCCTCGGTGGTGAACTTAGAGCTGTAAGTCTTCTTCTGTTTCATGTAATATATGCTTTATCTGTAATCTGAGCTGACACTTGACAGGAAAAAGATTACATGTGTTAGTCAATAGGAATAGTGGAGATTAATGTTTGAATTCAGGGAAAATATAATCACCTATATTATTCTAACAAGCCTACTCAAACGTCTTCTGTGCTGCTAAAATTTTTGGAAAAAATTACTGTCTAAACAAGTAAACACTGACCACAAACTATATCCCTGATTCCCCTACACTTATTCTGGAAGCTATATCCCCAGCCAATATATTCTCACTGGTGTGTTTATCCTGGTCCCAGAAAACTTAACTATAAACAGAGTGAAATGGTATGGATGTTTTCAAACGTTAAAAGTGCAAATTACGCCCTTAATAATAAATGTGCTCTCCTGGTCAGATAATTTGTACGTTGAAATGATTTAAGTGTCATACGGAATGTTTTGTGAAAAAGAACTTTCAATATAGACATTAGAGTTCTATGGTCTATGGAGTTTGTTTTAACTAGTTGTAGTAACATTTCTTTTCATTTTCCTTTTTAAAGGTGCCAAGAATGGACAGGCGGGTGATGGCTATTGCAAAGCTGGGATACAAGAAATGTGTCGTTCCCAAAACCTCCGAGAAGTTGCTCAGACCACTTGATCTTGACATCGAGATCTTGCCCTGCAGCAACCTGAAGCAGGTTATAAACACCGTGTTTACGACCCAAGGTTGATGTAGGCGTACATGATGCCTGGTTCAGTAGGCACTTTGATTAGAGTATTGCTGTAGGTCAATGACTTGGCTAGTTGGATTGGTGTAGCATAGTGCGGTAGTGCCAAGTAGTGCCAGTTAGAAAGTGGATGGTGTTCAGTGCTGGAATTTCAGTCGATTATGCTATTAAGCTTAAGACGGCCTTGAATTTGGTTATCTTTTGCGGGAATCAGAAACTATCACGATGTATTGTGGCACACAATCATAATTCCTTGGTATCTTTGGAGCCTGTTTGGAAGCATGGTTTTATATCAAAAACTAGTGTAAACGAACATTTTACATGTTGATCTAGAAAGGCTGTTTGGATGCCTTGTGAAACAACAAGTTTACCCCTGTACTAGAAAGATTCAACCGGAATAAAAAAAAATCACCTATCTTGGAGCCAATAAAAATATGACGACATCGGGCATCGTCTCCTATACAGACGCACTGTCGATCCCATCTCGCCAGTTTATTTTCCTTGGAGCACGATCTCTCCCTTGATCTCTTCTCTTTCCCTATGGCCGCTCTCGCTCATCTCCATTCCTTCTTCCTAGATTTCTCCCTGCTCATCAGATTGCTCATTTCCATTCCTTCGCAATGCTAATCCATTCCCTCATTTCGTTTGTAGCCTATAAAGATAACAAGGGGTGATGTTATTACTAATGTTTCGAAGCATGGAAACGACTTGTAGACCAGCTAACTTCATTCAGAGAACTTGGATTTTATATTTTATAACATTTTATACTATTAATGTTTTATAATAGTATAAAATAAAACTTTAATATGATTTGTAGGTCTTTCCCCTCTCCGAAGAGAAGCCCTTCCAGAAATTCTCAACTAGCAATTGACGCGCCTCGGTATGACCTCATAAGCGTGCCATTGCCCCAACCACAAAGATGGTTTATGTAGGTAGGCCGCCCCCGCTTCTTATACCTGCCTCTCCGTTTTTATGGCCTGTTGGATGGAAGCCTGGACAAAATATCTGGAAGAAAATATTGCATGGGAGTTGCTCGGAAAGTTAGTGTTTTGTTTTTTTGGCCCTATTCGTTTTGTTGAAAAGCCAGGCTGAAAAATACTGTTCGTTGATTTGTTGTGAGAGAAAAACATTGTTACTTCGCTGAAAAAATACGACTCATAAGTCAAGCGAATATGACACTGGCCAAGCAAGTTTAAAAATATTGTTTGGTTGGAGATTTGTGCTGAAAATATTAATGAGAGGGTATGCATAAGTGTGGATGTGTATTAAAATGTCTATGACGTGAGATTTTCATATATCATATACTTATATAGCTTGATTTAATATTATTTTTCTCAATTAACTAAAGAATAGTTTAATAAAAAAAGTTAATTGTACTTAATAATTTAATTATACTTTGCATCCTAATATTGTATGTTTATAATAACAAAGTCCCACATATTTAATAATAGATTAACGGTGATAGATTATTTTTTCAAGTAAAAAAGATTGATTAATTTGTGTGCAGCCAGGCAACGAAAATCGAGTGCCTTACCCAGCGCCGACTCACCGCGCCGCCGCCGGAGCCCTCTGCACCGCCGCGATGCTGCACCTCCGAAACCACCTCCTCTGCTCCGCGCCGCGTCCCCGCTGCTCTCTCCCATCCACCACCACCGCGCGTGCCTCCTCTCCGCCTCCGCGGCCGCCCCCTTCTCCCTCGAGGACTACCTCGTGGCCGCCTGCGGCCTCAGCCCAACGCAAGCCCGCAAGGCGTCCAAGCAAGCGTTCCAAGAGGCATCCAGAGAAGCCGGGAAACCATTCGAGGAGCTTTGCTACTCCCACCTCCACACTGCCTCCAATCCCGACGCCGTCCTCGCCCTGCTCTCCCGCGGCGGCCTCTCCCGCGCCGACATCGCCGCCGTCGTCGCCGCGGACCCGCTGATCCTCCGCTCCTGTGTAAACAAGATCGGGCCCCGCCTCCTCGCTCTCCGTGACCGCATCGGCCTGTCCGCTCCGCATATCTCCCGCTTCCTCTTGGTTGGCTCCCGGGCGCTCCGTTCCGGCGACGTCTGTCCCAACCTCGAGTTCTTGATCTCCTCCTTCGGCTTGATCGAGCCGGTCCTAGCCGTCATGAAGGGGAACAAGAGCATCCTAGAAATGGACCTTGATAGGAGGATGAAACCTAACATCGCGCAGTTTCGCCAGTGCGGTCTAAGCGTTTCTATTGCCCGTGGCTGATTGGGTTCCAACCAGAGCGCGTCAAGGGTTTCCTGCTGCGCGCAGAAGACCTTGGGGTGTCCCGCCGATCGCCCAGAACCCCATGTTCAAGCACATGGTACCAGCGATGGCCCGTTCCAACAAAGAGAAGAATGCTGCCACGCTCGAGTTTCTGAAGAGGAGTCTTGGTTGCTCTGAGAGCGAAGCTGCCTTTGTTGTGTCCAAGATGCCAAGCATTCTAGGACTATCTGATGAGTCCCTTCTCCTCAAGATTCAGTTCTTGATCAACGAGGTTGGACTGGAGCCGCAGGACATTCTGCAAAGGCCGTCCCTGCTCACATACAGCCTGGAGAAGCGGCTAGTGCCCCGATATTGTGTCATGAAGATCCTACTGGCGAAGGGACTGATGAATAGCAATTTTCGCACATTAGCCCAAGTTGGAGAGAAGAAATTCAGATTGAAGTTCATCGACCGTCACAAGGACTCTGTTTCTGGGCTAGCACATGCTTATGCCACAGCTCGTGCTGGCCTTGTGCCCTCTGGAGTCTAATCTAATTATGACATCTTGATATATTTAGATCCATTTTATTTTCTAGGCGGATGGTAGAACTGCAGCTCACACTAATTAGCAAGTGTCCATAGTGCACTCTTTCTCAATTCTTGGTTCCTGCAATTGAACCACCAGTGATGTTTGACTTGCATTGCGCAAGTTATGTTTTGGTTATCTATGAAGGAACTGGTTTGACTTATTTTGGAGCCCTATTACACATGTTTGTCAGTCGCTTCTTCCTCACACATGGCTGAAGTTTCGTGCTTAACATAGTTGTTCATTGTTTGATAAGCTTTTTTTTTTGGCAAAGGTCATTGTTTGATAAGCTGTAAAGCCTGTTTACCCCCCCCCAGTCATTTATTTGGAGATATGAGTACCAAGTCCCAGAAATATGTCTGTGTGGAGACTGCTGACAGTATCATGCTCTGCCTCACAAAATCGCAACCCCTGTTTTTTCAGTGTTTTTCAGTCCAAACTGCTATCTTCCGAAAGAAAGAGAAAGATCAAAATGTCATGGCAATACACTCCTCTCGCACATCTGCAAAGAGGTCGGAGTTCATGTATCTCTCGCCACCACTCGGGAACACGGTGACAATCACCTTACCCTTGTTCTCTTCTCTCGAAGCGACCTGATGACGCACTCGAAGGATCACTGTATGAAACTTCAGGCAGGGAAATTGAAATGCGAGATGAAGAGTCAGTTAGCTAGGATGTGTGTCTGAACCTTCAGGCAAGCTGCCAGGTTTGCTCCGGAAGAAATGCCCACAAGCAAGCCCTCTTCCTTGGCCAGCCTCCTCGCGTTCGCCATGGCCTCCTCGGTGGTCACGGTGACAGTCTCGTCGATGACCGAGGTGTCCAGGACTTCAGGTATAAATCCTGGCCCTACTCCCTGGATTTTATGCTTGCCAGGCGCGCCACCTGAAGAATACCAATGCTTATCAATGTGCAGATACAATTCTAGAGTTTGTGATTCTTATAGCAAATATTGCATTTTGTTAAGCCACACTGCTCAAGAGTCAAGGCTTCCAAACGATTATTTTGAATTAACTGTTGTTTCTACATTTGTGTAATACTACCTGAAATCACTGGGCTTTCTGCAGGCTCAACACAAATGATCTTGACGCCTGGCTTTTGCATCTTCAGATACTTTCCCACACCAGAAACAGTGCCACCTGTGCCTGAACCGGCCACAAATATGTCCACCTTGCCTGCTGTGTCCTTCTAGATCTCAGGTCCTGTGTTTGTAAACAGTAGGCAAGGTATTAGCTCCAACAGTACCAGCAGAATTTGTTTAGTAGTACAAATCCTGACCAGTAATTGTTACTGTTCTAGAATACAAAATTCTTGTAATGTCCACGATTTTGGTGGGTTTCTATAGTATGATGGCAACAGGGTCCTGTAGAGTAACATGTTGCACGAAGGATTCAGGTTCTGAATTTCTGATACAGCGATATTTGCACTAGCATAGTATGGCGGTCGGTCAGAAAATGTCCGTACCATTGCACCCCTATTAGCATGTGTTAGAAGCAAGAAACAAAATTTTCATAAATATAGTAAATGCATAAATGATACTTTCTCAGAAAAAAAAGTATTCCACAGCAGCTAACTCCTGTTATTTCCATACATAAAAATGGCAGCAGTTAGCTACTGTTTACCGAGATATAAGCATCATTTGAACACATATTATTATATCCATACCGGTCAATCTAAAGTGGGCTTCAGAATTTGCTCTATTAGTAACTTGATTCAGAACATGTACATTTGGCAGTTGTTTTCGGAGCCGTTCAACTTTGTCAAACATGCCCGCAAAGCCAAGGGCCGGATCTGCACATACAGTACACCCAAAGGAAGAAGGCCACCCATAAAATTCCTTAATCAAGCGCCGTGTTCATTTGGGCTGGTTTGGCTTATAAGCCATGGCTGAAAGTACTGTTGGCGGTTTGGTGTGAGAGAAAAATACTGTTCGTTGGCTGATAAGCCATGACTTATAAGCCAAATACGACCAAGCGAACAGGCCGAAGGAAATTTGACCGAAAAAAGCAATTAAGGTGATGCCGTAACTTTCTCAACTAATCATACCAGTTAAGTACAACTCAGCACCCATGAATCTCAGCAAGATCTGCTTGTCAAGCGAATATGTAGCTGGCATAACTGCAATGAGCCTGTAACCTTTCTGAATAGCAAAGAGGACCAACGACCAATCCTAACCCCATGTTACCGCTTGTCGGCTCCACTAGTGTTGTGACTCCAGGTGAAATCAACCCCCTCTCCTCTGCATCTTCTATCATTCTTCAGAAGAAAAAAAATGGAAGGAAGTGTCAGCACAGGTGTTACCGCCTATGACCGGAAGGTTCCGGGTTCGAGTCGCGGTCTCCTCGCATTGACGCCCTATCAGCACAGGTGTGCATCTTGCGTCATTCTTCAGAAGAAAACATAAGGAACTGTAGCTCGAGTGCTCGACACAGACATATTCTGTCTGCAGAAGAAAAGAAGGGGAAAAGGAAAAGATGGTACCTCAGAACAGAGCGATCCTTGATGGAGCAAAGCGGCTGGTGAGCCTCCATCTTGCCAACGATCCGCGCATCAATCCCAGCCTTGCTGGTGATTCGCTTCAGCTCGATCAGTGGTGTCCACCCTATGAGCTGAAGAAATTGTTGCACAAGAACAATCAATCTCTCATTTCACCTTAATCCACCACTAGCAACAGCAAGTCAGCAACAAACAGGAGCAGGAAGGAGATTTGAACCAAAAAGATTGGATGACAAGAGAGGGTAGAAGACCTCACCTGAGTGATGTCAGAAGCGATGTGCTCTTGTTCCCCAGCACCCACCGCCATCGCTGGAGGAAGATGGCTTCAGCAGAGAAGGAATACCCCTCCTCGCCATCCATGATCCATGGTTGATGCTCGACACTGCTGCTTCTTGGATTCTCTTCACTGGAGGAGGGAGTAGGCACACAGAGACGACTGTACCCTGCAGCTTGGGGATATTTGCTGTAGCTGCAGCCCCACTCTAACCCATGGCTACTAATCTTGTTTGGATTGCTAACTGAACAAATGAATGCTAAAGAACAAATGTTGTTCAAAAACTGTAGAAACGCTAGACAAATGTGGTTCAGAAACACTAGAAAAGTTGAAGCTCAGTTTTGTAGCTTGCACGATCGGTCAAACTGAAAAAAGTCGTGTGGATTAAAAAAAAGTGATGGTCTGTTGTAGTGAGGCTCTAGGCCTGAATTGGGTTCGTGATGTAGCAGCCTGTTATCCTCCGACCGTTGGAAGCGGGCAGTGATCGCTGCTCTGTGAAGCCAGCCTCACGCCATTCCTGCCAACTTCAGGGGTTTGGAGAGGCCCAAGCTTTCGCCAGAGCCCCCGCCAACCACTACCAACTTGGGACCGTCGGTAGGCCAGCAAAGGCACACCACATACCCAAGCCTAGAAGCCAGCACTAAGCATCCGCACCACCTTAATGCCCCCACTTGTGTTACAAGCTCTCGCTATGAGCTCGGCGACAGTGGGTGGTCGGGACAAGTATTTAAGCTGGTGAAGTGGAGTGTGGATTAGCGAGGTGGTGCTAAGCACTAAGCTGAGGTGACAGATAGAATAGTGGCTCGGAAGTGGGCTTCTGTTGGTCACTGGTCAGTGTGAGTCGCAGCAAGAGAAAAATGAAATTGAAATGGTCAGTCCACATTTGGAACATGGGCCTGGTTAATGGTCCATCAGTCATGACTACTTTGTTAAAGGAGGCTGGAGGTTTGTTACTACTTTGATGATTCTGCGTCCTAGCCTAGAACTCAAAACAAGATGCAAACAATTCAAGCAAATAAATGAAGTAGGCTGAGGTGAACTAAAGCATTTATTCAGAGGCTAAGTGGTTATTTTTTTTCAAACGAGATACTTTATGATCCAAGGTAGAAATTGGCTGCTCTCGGTTTATAGTTTGTGTTACAATTCTTTGCTGAATACATCAATCCTCAAAAGGCTGTAAAGGTCCCTAGCCAAGAACACGTCTTTCCTGATGGAATGCACATGCGTAGCAATCTTCTGCCGACTGCCAGCAGGTTCCATATCATGAACCCCGCCCCCCTCAGCAACTTGTTGGATTGGATCAACGATACTAAACTTTATTACATGCCGAGCCATATATAACAGGTCACCGCTACAGATATGAACAAGCGTCGAGATCATCAGAAGGTCATGGTGATGCATTCCTCTCTTACAGCTGCAAAGAGATCGGAGTTCATGTATCTCTCGCCACCACTAGAAGCACACAGTGACGATCATCTTCCCTTTGTTCTCTTCTCTTGATGCCACCTAAAAATACATTTAGTTATTTAGAATGTAAGGTAAGGTGAGCAAAGATACGAAAGAAATGCATGGATCGAGTCAGAAGAATTAGAGTTCGCAATAGCGCTAACTTTCAGGCAAGCTGCCAGATTTGCTCCAGATGATATGCCAACTAGCAGGCCTGAAAGTTAGCACCTGGCCACCCTGAGCTATGCTAAAAATTCAGATTCAGTAAAAATTTCATCTAGAGGATGACTAAGTATTGATATATCTATGTTTATGTTTATTTAATTGTTAATAAATATTTATTATATTAATATTAAATATAATAATATATAATATAAATCAACAATATAAATTATAATTACAAAATAAAAATAATATAAACATATAATAAACCTATTAATTGATTTGTAGGGCTTTCCCTTCTCCGAAGAGAAGGAGCCCTTCCAGAAATTCTCAGTGGCCCAGTGGGCCAAAGAGGGGGTTTGGAAATAGTTTTCAACCAGCAATTGACGCGCCTCGGTATGACCTCATAAGCTGCGTCATTGCCCCAAGCGCAAAGATGGTTTCCGCAGGTCGCCCGTCCCCGCCTCTTGTACCCGCCTCCCCGTGCCTCTCCGTCTCTCCTCTTCCGAGGTGGGACAAAACATCCCGCATAACGCGACTGCTCACCTCCCAAGGGGCTTTCTGTTCCCACCTGGGCCCTTTTGAGTTGTCAGGGGCCCACGCGCCTCGTGCTCTCTTCCACGGGCCGGGCTAAACGTGCGCTCAGTTTCCACTGGGTCCCTCTCTCTCTCTCAATTCGAGGCCCGTTTCGTCGCGACGTTCGTCGTAAGGACAGGGCCCTCGTGCTGCCACTGGCCCACTAGGCAGTAGGCACCGCCCAGCCCACTCGAGCGTCCAAGGCTTCAGGGTTACCATCGGGCATCACACCGGCCATCCCAACTTCCCAAGACCCATGTTTCATCGCACTGCATCTGACATGATCCTCCGACAAATAGTACGAGACGGTCACATTACCCAAACTACTCCAATACAGTTCTTAGATTTCTGTCACAAAATTCTAATAACTTCTTTGGGAATCTTTGAACTTATTATTAGTACAAAATTACAAAAGAAACTGCTCTCCGTAACTGAAAAATGGAATGTTCAGATAGTCAGCCATGTGCCAGCCAAACTATACATACGATATTTATTTAACTGAACACTCTACTAAACTAGATATGGATAATGTGTTCTTTTCAAGAAAAACTGGACAGGGAGCACTGAGCAGGACCGGTTGCCATAGCTACTGAAACTGTAAAAAAAAAAGGGATGATCCGCACATATCAGCGGCAGTTGACCTCACTTGGTACCACCCAAGTTGGAAGCTGGTGGAACCTTCTCGTCTACCTTCCGATGGGAAGGCGAGCCATCTAAAAGTTGGGCTGTTCTTTCCTGTTCCTTCTTTGCCTCTTCGATGACTTTGTTGCAGAGGAAGCTTGGCTGGTTGGTCGACGAGAGCAGCCTTGCCCACATCCTGTCGGTTATCGAGACTCTGTTCTGCTTCTCTGTTATCCTCTGAAGTGAGTGATGCAAAACAATTAGTACGAAGGGCATTGATTGAAGCAGAATAATTAGCTCTCAGATGTAGATCGTGATGTTGAATGCAGTAAAAAGAATTTCATGTCCTACGGAGTGTGACTTACATAGAAGGGGATATAGCAATGCCGACCATTCACTTGACCAATGGTGAAACCAGTATATCCAGCCATGGCTCCATGAACCACGCTGTGAGCCAGCAGTGTGCAATAGACATTATCAGAAGCATTGCTAGGGATGGCACGTATCATGTACGTTGGATCTGCAGTAGAAGAACAGCATCTGAGATATGTGAAACTAGCAAATCTGGCCCTAAAATATGATACCAAAGAAAATCACTGACCTATGTACTTCAGATTAATGGTCATCTTGTTTTTCTTGAAATACTCCTGAATTCACGAATACAACATTGATTAAACAAGAACTTATATTGCAGATAAGAGTGAAACATAGGCATGCATAGAACATTAATAATGACATCAACTGATGCAAAACGGGGTCAGAAGAAGTACACAGTAGATGGGACATGTAAGTAGAATATCAAAGTCTCACATTTATCTTCTGAGATAACCAAAGACCAACATCAAGAAGCAGCTCATTGCCTGAAGCATCTTTCCCAGTTGACTGCATTGTTTCAGCAATAAGTTTCTGTCCAGCACCCTCAGCAACAACAATAACCATATGACCATTGTCCTTCAAACGTTTTTCTATATATCTAAAAAGTCCACCTTCACCTTCCAGATAGAATGGTGATTCTGGGATCAAGCAACAATCCTGACAAAAAGGAAAATATTTTATCCATTTATTCTTGTTTGGAATCATGAAAATACACTTAAAATATTGTTGGCTCTATGGAGATGTGGGACATACCACGTCCCTGCTAGCCAGAGTAGCATAATGTGCGATAAAACCTGCATTAGTAAAAAAATGTCGCTACTCACTAGTCGAATTTATGGTAATGAACAAGTTGCTTGATCTTGAGATCAGTAAGGGACGCAAGGACAAGAACTTTTGGGATCTACTTCAAATTTGAACTAGATTTAAACAATTCGCCCCTTATCCAAAAGAAATCCAAGAAATATAGGCACATACCAGTCTGAGAGCTCCCGCCGTATATGGAGTCTGAGGAAGGGTGAACTAAATGCAAGCCTTACCCTGCCCACAACTGCAAGCTCACTGAGGAGACCGCGACTCGAACCCGAGACCTTCCGGTCACAGGCGGTAAGACTCTACCGCTTGCACCAGGCCCGCCCTTATCCAAAAGAAATCCAAGAAATATAGGCACATCGAGTTGATTATCTATCCATGTTATTTATATAGTTCTTGCATATACAAACAAGGAAATGAACTAAATACAGCCTAGAAGGAAGTGACCCACAACTAAATAAGCTCACATATGCCAGCTACTGCCATATTTCTACTCAAGAAAGAATGAAACATAACAAGCAAAAAAAAAAAAAAGAATGAAACATAACAAGCAACATAGCATTTGTTCAAAGAGATTCAAAATGTGATTTAAATTTGCATGGACATTCACGAAACTAATGAAACCATAATGACATCTAAGATTTTCATAGAAGCAAGGGAGTTCGTCAAAGATTCCACTTGCAGAATAAGATATTAGCAGAGAAATACTCAAGAGTTAGTTAGTTGACACATACAATTGACAGGTACCATATACTACTAGCATAACATATTGGTCTCTCATAGAACTTACCACTGTGCCGGCCCATTAGCTTGACAAGACCTATACCATTCTCAGCACTTACAGCTTCCACATGAGCAGCATTTATTGCACGTTGAGCCTCCTCGACTGCTGTGTCGAAACCAAATGACTTGTCAATTACCTGAAACATGGGTAACAGTGAGTTGGTGCATGTATCATGTGATCATGTCAAATGTCATCTTCCATTTTTCCACCAAAGTATCACTAAAATGTGGAGAAATGTATTACAGGGATGTCATTGTCA